GATTTCAAGTTGAGAGTTTATTTACTAACATTGTAATTATTGATTGAAGTGATCATAGTTGTCTTTAGATAACATATAAAATTCTTTAAAAAGAGTTCAACGTTTTCATGTCATGAAGAGATTGTTTGATACTGAAATAAATGAATGAAACGCAAATCCGTTTTGTTGATTAAAAACAAATTAAAAGAAGCTTAATGTTTTTTCTTCCTAATCATATTTGGCTTACTTTTTGTCAAGCGACCTCTGATTATTTTAAGAGCGTAAATTATTTCACATGTAAACGTATTGCTCTCAAGACTCCTTTCCGCCGTAATATATGGACGCAATAATTACCTATTCTTAAAATTCCAGTATTTGCGGGAATAGCCTCGTTCATAAGATAAAATAAGTAGTAAAACAATTGATTTACACGTAGATTCGAGGCTAAGCTWACTTGGACTGTAAACTTTTAGAATAGTCAATAGAAGTGGTACAGTACCAATATGACCACCATCAATGCTGTATGCATAAATGTTCATCATGTTCATATTAGATTGAGCACAAGAAGATTTTTCTTGACTTGCTATTCCTATTAAGCCATTATGTGATTACATCAAAGCTCTAGTAACTGACTTTCTATTCTAATATGCATACAACTAGAATTATGGAGACGCCGGCATATTTGAACGTCATTATTAGAACGATAGAAACGTCAATCATTGGTTGAGACATCGAATCGACTTACGTAAAACACGGAAAGAAATTACGAAAATATTGTTGATATCGTGAGAGATTTCAAAGGAAAAATTGATCATCCCAGACGCCCAATAGCTCCTGGTTATCTGAATGACCAATCACAGCTCATGAACTGTTTCTTTGTGCTGAGCCAATGGAATTCGTCAATTTAGATTTTTTGCACGGAATAATGGTTCGGAAGCTGATGGTTCGGAAGCTGCAATTATCCTTGCGAAAGAATGCTCTTTAGGAAATTAGAAGAGATTTTTTTTATCTCCAGTCAGAGTTAGTTACTAATAACTCTGCTACAACAAAGAAAAATGGTGGGAACTAGCGGTAGTGTGAGCTGCATCGGTGTTTCTAAAGAAACAGTTGTGTACAAAAATTTAACACCGTAAAAAAAGTATGTGACTAATAACTTACTGACGTTTCGGACGTTAATCCTTCATCGGAGAAGAAAAACAAAGAAAAACTATTTCATACCTACTGGTGGTCGCATTAAGCGTYGATCTCGCATTTTATGAATAACCGCGAATAAATCCAAAGTTATTTAATAAAAACTCGGTGCTATAGWTACCTTATTAACGTAAAAACTTGATTAAAAATATTTAAGTGCTCCGTCTTTGTTTAATGTAAGACAAAACGTTGCGCGCATTAACATTTATTAACAATGAAGCCTTAACACTCCAAGTCAAAGACTCGTTCCTTTTTATTGTATTGCCTTTGTTAGGAATATTTAAGGGGCTGGGTTCTTAAAATCTTTTAATTCGTATTCCTGTAAACATGAGTTTCACTGTAAGAAAGTGAAATTATGATTAAAATGTTGATATGCAAGTATAAAACCTTGAATTAAAGAAATMAGCTAATGAAAGGAAAGCTGGACGAGGAAAGATATCTTGTAYAAAAAACGACACATTTTGAAGAACATTTTATCAAGAAAATCTTTCCATATTTGTTTGTTTCTATAAATAGCTCTGTCTCATAGCMTTTATTGTCCCCCAGTGATATGAAAATTATTGGATAACAGCCAACTTAATCAGCCTTAACCAATAACGCGCAAAGAAGTTGAAACTAGATTAGTAGTAGTGACAAACTTTGCACATWTTGCAATTGTCATTTGGTTATGAATTTAAAAGACTGATCTTATACAAACTTTCTTGTGACTGCGTCAGTATAGTCGTCCAGGAAGACATTGAAGAAAGAATTGTAAAGAACTGACGTCAAACCAAAACACTGCCAGTGTGTGAAAAGAACTACGTAAGAACACCAATTAGTTCATCATATAGACTGGCTGGCGGACGTCATTTGTTTTGTCTACAATAAAAAAAGACAAAAGTCACACAAAGTATGTGTACTTCTCGCTTGAAAGACCTAACAAGTGCCAGCTACTGAATTATTTCACATCTCTGGTCACCTCTTTACGGCGCTCATAAACTTGAAATTGAACTGAACCTAAAGATGAACTGATTTCTATACAAAAGATAAGATATACGATCAGTTTTYGTAGGATAACGAGACTTTCAGTTTTCTGGTACCAGCCGTCAAGACAAGCTGTCACAAGTGAATGCAAGATTGTACTTTCTACGCTGGAGGCATCAATGAACGTCATTGGCAGTTGGAAGGTTTGGAGACAATTGTTGTGAATTATTGAACACTGCAACAGTTTAATTTCAGAAGAATCTATCACAAGTAAGAAAGGATAAATTCAAGATAAGATTATTAATTTACATGGATTTAATTTATGAGGATATAGAAACTGTATCAATTAAACRTTGTTGATAATTAGCGTTTTGAAGCAACCTCTTAGCACCAGCTGAGTATTGGACTATAGTTGATAAACTGAAAAAGAAAACCTCTCATAAATTAAGCACCGTATAGCTATATATGAACGAGCAACTAACGTGAACAGCTACTGTCCTCTATTCTTCATGACTGACAACAAACTGTACTAATTCCTGTCTTCTTAAAGCATTCATTTATTAATTGTTTCAGAAAGTATCTCGTGCATGTGTTGCTTCCTGGTAAAGCTTCTCTGTTCCAGTAAACATCAAGACATACAACAGACTTTCATGTTTCTTTATAACCATACCCATAGTAAGGTTGATACAATGCCAGGAATYAACTTTGCATGACTTTGATGGACTGTTAAGGAAAGATTGTTCTTTTTCGAGGCCGCTTCTACTACATAATTACGCCTTGAACTGAGTGCTGTATCTGGACATACTGTTTCCCTTGAAGATTATGGGATGTAAAACCTYCTCTTTTCCAGTTCATCATTATTTCCAGTAAGCCAAATAATTACTACAGGAATCAATTGTGTACTGGCGAAACATACAGCTCACCATCAAACTGTTCATTTAAAACCGAAAATTAAGTGCTAAGTGTGTTGGAAAGTTGTTGGAAAGAAACWGCTTGTTTGGCATTGAAACTGGCCTAATTTGTGCATTATCTCGGGCAATATTGCCCGTTAAACGTGTCAAATAAGGGACGAGCACGATCATTAAACACATGAGAGACAATCGATATACAGGTGGAAAAGATGTCATTTATGTGCTAATTTGTTGACTGTGAAGGTAACTTAACACTTGGCTTGTGTATCTGGAATCATCCAACAGCTCAGCTTGCCTATAAAGAGTTTTGTCRTAGAGTTTTGAGATCATAAGCACCCTTGACTGTAGAGAATTGTCATGTCTTCATCGGGCAGCGACAAGGAATCAGTGAATGAAGTTCAGAGTCAGTTACAAGGAGTACTAGTTTCTGTCAAGATACACGACACAGAGAAAGCGTCAAACKWGAAGCGAGTTCGCTTTAACAGTCTTGTAGAAGTGCGGTTTATACCTAAAGTAAAAGCCAAGAAAGAGAAGARCAARGAGGACAAAGACAAGAGAAAAACCGAGGAGAAAGGAAACAGTGATTTAGCAGCAGAAGGAAAAGAAAACGTTGCTATTGGAAACGAAGATGAAACTCACAACGATACAAAAAATGACTCTTCATCGGATAAAAAGAAACTAAAAGAAAAAACAACAGTGAAAACAACTTCTGACAACACAGAAACAGGAAAAAATTCTCCTGTTAAAGAGGGTTTTTATCTTCCTAAAGTTACMATCGGACAAGAATACGATGGTGATGTTACAMGAACAACTAAAGTAACTACCAAACCTCAGGCTCGAAACGCTATTAGATTGCTGAAACGAGTCAGTAAAGAGTCGAGAATACACGACTTAAATGCTAAAGCTGTGGTCCATCTTGAAAGACAAGCGTCTGAGTATTACAAGGAAGCAGACAGATTGTTTGAAGAGACARTATATTCACATGATAAAAAGGAAGGAAGWTCAAGTCCACAAAGGTGCGAAAACGTAAGTGAAATAAACAGAACCTCWCCACAGAATTTTGTGAATGCTGCTTTGCAACGGAGTAAAAGTGTCCCGGAAATCCACCGACGATTGAGTTACCCCGAGATGCAACAACAAGGACATAACAACGATGGCTCACATAAGAAACTTTCWACRTCACTGCCTTATATCAACATGATTCCTACATTAACAGGMAAAATCCCAGAAACAAACCAAAAAGATTCATATACAAAGCTTTATCTACCTCAACTACAGAGAAAAGCTGAAGAAATCAAGCGATTGAACGATACTGTTTTACGTAAAAAGCCGAAGTATAGCACCGACAGGTCTCCGACTTCGCCGAACGACCCGACTTCGCCCGAGTTCAGTGGCGATAAGACTACGGAAAAAATGGCWAGTCCTCCGGCCAGTTCTCATTCAATTGTACGATATTCTCATGGACTTGACATAGCTAGACTACTAAACGTTACAAATTCTGCACAACTATTTTATTAATACGTCTACTTGTGTACTATATAGAATGATGTTCGCGCGTGTGTCGAATAAGATTACTCGTGGACTATATGCAATAATGTTAGTGCGCAAATGTGCCAAATAAGATTACTCGTGGACTATATGCAATAATGTTAGTGCGCAAATGTGCGAACAGATTAATATCGCTACTCGTGGAGTTTTCTAAAGTATGTGCATGCAATATGTTATGTAATACGAATAAATAATAAACAAATTTGAATTATACATGTATAAAAAGTCAAGGCAAATCATTGTTTTATTAAATAAAGATATCATTCTTAAAATGTCGGTGTCTTTCTATGACGGGCTTCCTGTGCTTATTACATGGTGCCATTTTATTTTCCTACAATAGTCCCCTTATCTTCTCAAGTTGACACAGGGAACCCAGTTTGTCTATTTTACTGCACAAGAGGCTGATTACCCTCTTTTTTTCATTAACGTCGAACACTGCGTCTCTCCCAACTATGCGTACCTTGCTAAGTATCGATGGCAAATTTTTGCTTTGTCATTGTAACTATTACCTACCATCAATATCTGTTGTTAAAGAMCTGTTGCACTTTGACGTCATAGTTACGTCATATCGCCATGATCACAGCGGTTCAAACAGTGCATCAGTGAGCCGCCATATAGCATGAGTGAAGCCAAGTGTTTCGTTGAATAAACTGGATCGTTCTAATGGTTTGTTGGTGAAATAACTTATCCACCTACCAATTCGAAAATAGCAGTGATCTTAAAAATCACCGCTTCTTTGCAAAAATGTAACATTTTTTTAAAAGTTTGCATTTCAGTTACATGATTTTTTCAGTTTGCGAGATAGTATACTTGATGGCAAAGTTTCTGATTTAATTTATTTTTTTCTCTAAGTGCATTCACTAAATCACTTTTTGTTTTTTCAGGAGAGGGGAGAGTAGTGTAGTATATGTACTCTAAGGTCAGTTAGTGCCGGTTCCAACTTGTTTCCATTTCATGTACATCAGTCAATTGAAACCACGGCCCCCCAACCTCGCGGGAATGCCGGGAGAATTAAACTTTCATCAATAGTACAAGTCCCGGCTTTTCCCGATCCCTGGAGACAAAGGAGGCGACTATGTTTACGTTAATTCCTCCGCCTCACAGTCGATATATGCCGCTTGTAATGYCAAATCCCCTGTTGCAAAGTGTTAAATCCCGGACCCTTCCCGGGGATTGGGGGATCGGGGTTTCAACTAACTGACGCATTTGTTAATCTATTTGAGCAATCTTTACTCTACACCAAAATCAAAACCACAAGATATTTGAAAAAGTATCAGTTTTTACTATATAAACATCAATTTAATCCTCACATTCTATAATTCTAAGTCTCATTGATCTGACATGATAAATTAAGCCTATTTACGTTTGGACTACACGAATATTAGCAGAACAAACACATTAGCATCATCTAAAAAGTTGTTTGTGAATAGAATTTTGCCTGGGGGCTAGGACGTTTGAAGCGTAGAAAAAATGCAATTCATTCCAAAGTGTACAATTATATTGTTATAATGCCGCAGATCAATATCATTTAATTATTTGATATTGATTATGACAATGCGAGCGTCAGTTAAATTAAGCATCTTGAGAATTTTTTATTTCTTTAATACGTTTTGCGTGATATCACTCACATGGCCATTAATGGGTTCTTACGTAACGAATAAAAAAAGGGAGAAAAAAATGAAGAGAATACATGCGTACCACTTTGGTTACCGACACAGACAACAAAGAGTACAGTAGGTTTTGGACAATGWAAGGGAAATAATGTTCACTAGTCCCTTAGGCAGTGCTATAAAATGTCTGAAAGCCCAAATATTAGTTTGCGTCCTGTGATATCAACCGGTGCACATTCACGACAAGAGGCTTTGTAGCGTAATGTCTTCTCCTGTAGAGATCCACGCTTGACGGATGATCAGCTCCTCTTGTCAACTTCTTTCTTTATCCGTGAATTTATCGAAACCAAGATAACTGGTGCTTAGTGACTCTGAATCTAAAGCAGCACTTTTGTAACGGTTTTGAAAACTGAAATAAAATTTACTGTAACCGTCAATACTTTAAACTATGGATTTTGAGCAAACGCCAGTATTCGATCATATTCTGCGAAGAATCTACAAATCAAGCCGCCATTTTGTTTTCCTCTACTCACAGCATATCTACTAATATCCGAGTAGATCTTAGCCAATCAGCGCACGAGTTTTCTTACCTTACTCTTTAGATGTTGAAAAACTACACATGTCTGAATGAAGTCAAAAAAGTTAAAAACGGTAAAAAGTTGATAAACTGCGTATACGTGAAATGGACTCGTTGAGACTAAGTGTAAGTTCAMCAAGAATTACACCAAAGTTTATGTAACAATAAATTATTCTATGTAAATTTGATATACTTCAGAATAAGATTTTGGATTAATTAACTACTAGTATTTCATCACACGAGCCGCAGTGGCGCGCTTGGTGCACAGTTGGCAGGTCACTATACAGTAAGACTCGWTTCACRCTGTGAWTTATTTGAGCTTAACAAAAAAATAAGAAAGAACAAAGTACAATAGACTTACATACCAGAACTAGTTTATTGACAAAACTTGGAGGTTTTTTTAAAAAGAAGCATGTAATAATAGATCTTCCTTTTTGCCCAACGTTAATAATAATCGATATAACCGATAAAAATCTACAAAAAAGATTATAATATCTAAGCAAGAGCTTGCATATTGTCTAGGCCTTTTATTTTGAAGGTTTGTTTTTCAAAGAGCGCTTTCAATTGGTTCCCTGTTGGAGTTAATAAAACAAGGTATACAAAATACTATACTGTGACACACTACAACAAACAGTCCTTGAAATATGTCACCTTAAATCCACGTGCAAGCAAACTTTTATTCTGGTAAGACCATTAAAATGCATTATATCAATACTGGTGGTATTCAAGTGTCAAATTCCCTTCAGTCTCGATTGTTTACACTCCTTGACCACCCGTCCCTTGTATTTTTACCTCAAAACAATACTATCCCAACATCTGTGATTCTTATCCAATCACATCGTGTTTTAACGTGTCTTTCGCTGAGTGAGCTCGTATGTTAATCASTCTCACTGCTAAACGATGCTCAWCGATGCACTTTCGARTTGTGTTCCACATTGTAGCGAATATTATAGGCCTACATGATATCGCCAGTTGACTTGGCTTAAAGTCGATCGTAGATACAAGAAGTTGGTTGTCATTAACAACATTTAARTACGCTTCCAGAGGGCATTACTACGAGTTATTGGCCCCYGTTTCGTCACTTTCGCCGGTTATTCTCTGTCAAGGTTTTTCRRGTGAGTARGTTTTGTTCAAGACAACTATTTCGSTTTTCTATCAGCTCGTAGTTTGGATAATATATTGGTCTAGTTTTTATTGTTAACTCGCAATRCTGTATTTCTGATTACAGGTTGCTTGGAAAGGAAGTGCTAAAATCTATTGTATTTAACTTCACCCAAGGGACCATTCAGGCTTAAAAGCAATATAATTTCACAGTTTATTTGTGWCAGCTTTTCAAGAGAGTGAATACAGCTGATGTAAAGTTTGTACATTGGACTTCACTGCRTAACATGGCGGCTGTGTTCCATCTCGCCATCCTCGAAGGAGATGTAACGAAAGTTCGTTTTCTGTTRAAGTATAGTCCCGGACTTCGCGTCGATAGTGTTAACAAATTAGGCCTYACAGCTCTACAGCAAGCGGCACTCGATGGTAATGTAGATATGGTAAATTTTCTACTTGAAAAAGGCGCTGATTTGAGTTGTGTTGATACCGACGGACGTACAGCGCTTCATCTCGCTTCACAAGAAGGTCATTTAGGRGTTGTGAGTCTAYTAGTTACGTCTGCCTGTGCAAATGTGAACGCTAAGACGAAACAAGGCTACAAAGCTATCGATCTGGCAAAAACTGATCAAGTTCGAGCACTTCTTTCGCAGGCAATGTTAACCGAGAGTTTTAAAAGAAAGTGTTCACTTGAYGAGGACGATTTCGACACGTCTGCCTATGCTGGTTATAGGAATATTCCTGGTTGTAGRAACTCGTTATCGAGTGCTTCTACAGACTCAGGAGTTTATGATGACTCGTGTTCATCGCAAGATAGCACTAGCGACTTTAAGTTTTACCGTACAAATCGCGTGTCTAGCTTGCGTGGTTACCCATCAAGATATTCTATGATAAGTGAATTGGATGCTTATGATACGCGATGTCGATCGAATAGCGCTCGTGTAAGTCGCATGGATGGTTCWCCTGTCAACTCCATACTCAAAAGTAACTCATTCTCAGCGAAAAAAGACAGCGAGAATAGCACAGCAAAAGAGTCAATCRTAGAAAGAACCAGAGCGGAAATGCAGAGATACAGGCGACCACAACCGAAAGCTTACGTGAGGGACGTACGTAGACGTAGAACTGTGACGTTCGGTTTAACGGAGAAAGAAAGAGAAACAGAGCGAGCTGAGACTTCAGTCGATTACGACGTTTCATACGGTATTCAAAACCGTGTACAACAGGAAGGAAATGCTACAACAAGAACTATTACTAGACAACTTCCTCAGGTACCTCCCCGTGTGCCTCCGAGGGTGAAATCACCCCCTGTACCGGCTCAACGAACATCACCGAGATCCTCACCTCCGGTTCCAAGCCCTAGAACTACACCAAGTCCGACTCCAAGTCCTAGACCGACTCCAAGAGCATCTCCACCWCCAGTACCGAGCCCACGATCGCCTCCAAATACATCCCCTCGAATGCCTCYTCAAAATCACCCATTAATTCCTCCTAGGAGTGCTCTTACGCCACGATCTGCGAGCTTAAAGGCTAGAGGAGAGCCGGAGGGTTACCGGGTAGTACCTAGAAGACCGCGAAGTGAGTTTGAACGTGGTCGTGATGTACCTAACCGCAGAAGTTGTCATGCAGGGTTTTCATCGCGTGGTGCCAACTAGCACTCGAGACGAAAAGTCGCTATTTTACAAGGACAGAAACTGAGTACATAAATAGTGATTTTAATGTCGTAACGAAAGGACATAACCGCAAACGATTTCACGCACTTTTTACGCTCGATACGACATTTAATTAACACCCACTACTGATAAAAAACAAAAACACTAAGAAACTTTAATTTAGCTAAAAAGTTATTCAAAATCAAGTAGACTTTCCTTATGTTTCTCAATGCACATGACTGCAAATATAGAATACACAATTTCAGATGATGGAAGAATCCGTCCTGAAAAACGCTACTGAAGTTTCAAATTGGAATGGTTTTYGGAAGACAGGAATTCTCAGAGCGTGCATAGTCAGCGCGCGGTTTGGATTCGACTGCATTCGAGAGAAAAAGTCGGTTGATTTYAGTCCGAAAGTTATTCCAGAAGAAGTCTCAAGTTGTTATCGCGGGTAGGCGTAATGTATACTTAACCGCAGAACAAATTTACACGAAGTTTTCTGTACGCGGTTTTTAATTTACACTAAKCATAGGAAGACTTTTGTGATAATGAGAACGAGATCGCTACGTTCAACGTTTATTCTTCATTTTTTCTATTTTCAACTAGGAAGACTTAGTTTTCGGTGAATTTTGTATTCAAAAGAAGCACAATTTAATATATTATATTTCATTTGTAGATGCAAACATTCACAAAATATATTTATATATAAACAATTATATTCATTGTTATTRTTGGGGTTTTTGTAAAAAATAATAGGTATAAAGATCACCTTTTKTAAATATACACAATGGAAATTTGTATGATTTTGGTGGTGACAATATGTTAAATAACATGCTTAATAAATTTGTAATTTCCCAAAATAGCGATGATCTTAGTCAATATACAAACACATTTCTCCTACTGGTTTATACAGTGGATATTATGTTAAATAAAATGACAATTTGATGTCGGGATCTCTTAGCAACGGTATAAACATGGCAGCAGGTACATCGTGGAGAAACTTCATTTCATGCACAAATAATACATAACGTATTTGGGCATTTTATTTTGAAAGCAATATGTTCAAGGGGCCGTGAGTCATGCACAAAAAGCACTTAGAACGTTCTAGAAATAATGCAGGAGGTCGTTTTATGCTAGAAGCTGAGGAGCGATATATCGGAGGGCGTTATTTAGGCACAAGTACTCTAGAAATAAACCGGGAACATTAACGTAAAGTCTGTATCGCACAGTAGTTTATTAGCTAGAAATAGTATAGTACAAAAACTGCAAATTTGTAAGGAGCATAACTGTATTGATATTTCTTAATTAAAGCGTATTTTCCGYTTCCCAAGAGCTATAGCGAGCATCACCGACTTCCTCACAAAATAGAATTGACTGACAACTCTGAAATATATTTTCAACTTTCACTTCGGAAGTGAATTGAAKGGTGTTTTGGTGTTTGTGGATTCCTCTCACGTACTGGCGGCAAGATTTGCATATTTTCTACAAACGAGAATTATCTGGATATATACCTCACGTTCAACGAAGACCTCGGTCATGTTTTGCCGAATTTACAGACAGATAGTTTGTCATAATTTGTAACCTAAGAAATAGGATATTACACACTGAAATGATTTTCAAAGCCTTCTATTTTGCACAGTTTTATTTCATTAGTTACTGGCCGCTTTTCCTCAAAACAGCGAAGTCTTTGGTGTCAAACTAATCCTTCGATCCCACAAAATCCTCAATTAAACCAGAACACATCCCTCAATAATAAGATAATAACCGAGTACAAGAAACTTGTTCACCGCAAACCAAGGAACAATGATCCATGTGGGATGACTCTAGATGGCTTAACATGAGCATGYAGCGCATGCTCTTGACGAGAAGCGTTTCTCTCGCAGACCAAGAAGACAGAGGGCTCCGAAGATCGTTGAATCCACAGGAAGTTTTTTTGTTTGTTTGTTTGTTTTTTTTTTTTTTTGCGCATGTGCGCTTGAAACTATAGTTACACCTACAAACATGATTTCCTTTCAGAATTTATTAGTACTACAGGTTGRCAGGTGTTTCATAGAAAAACGACAGAAAGACTGGGCAAGGCCACGTCAAATTCTAAGGGAGGATTCCAGGTGTAACAGGAAGTGATGGTAATGTGTTTTTGCATAACCACCATGTGATCCTCGTGTGATGATAACGTACAGCTGAGCTGCCTGCTGTCTCGTTAAAGSTTTTTATCTGGCGTTACGCTATCGTCTATATTAATTATTCTACTCTGACGTACGCATGCGCGGCGATTAAAAATTCACTTGTCAGCGCATGCGGTATATGAAGCGGGACTACTCCCAACCACGCCACTTGACTGAGTGTGTTTTGACAATGAAGTCTACGTTTTTGGGCGTCTTTTGGCAACGTCGGTTGAAAGTATATGCTTCATATCTACTGTAGTATATTCAACTGGTCGTTGTTCCACTGTTTGCAGTCAAGGGCTCAGTGATGTGACTAACCTTCAGCATTTGAAAAACGCTGTGCCTTGTTTTCTTCTGTCAGACTGTTAACTTTGGTTATGAAGAGAAAAACAGCTTTGTGATTTATCGGTAAGCCGTCGTTGGAKTAGAATTTCCCTGGGACAATTCTTGCTAATATGACTAGTAAGTCTTTCATGTGTTTTAATAGTAATGTGGCAATTAGTGGATTTGATCATCATGTCTTTTCTGCGAATTTGAAATCTTTGAATTATGCTAATTTATTTTTGTGGAAAGACTTCTCGTGACCCTTCGTCAATAACAGGTCGTAAAATCAGCTAGTTTGTTTGCATCAAATTAWAATTATCAACTTTCAAAATATAATAAAATAATACAAGATAACTGTTAGCAAAACCTGCGAATTGTACGGTTGTTTTTTGCAAACTACAAAATCGATTTAGGTAACTATAGCCGTTGAACTAGTCTGAGCTGCTTTCAATCAGTTCATTGATTCTTATTACTCCAACGAACGAGTTGTAAAGCCTCTTTTATCTTATTTACAGTGTTTTACCGATCCGTCCACGACATAGGTAGATGCCCATACTGTATTTCATTCAATCTTCCTCTATACTGTACCTCTCGCGAAATCTTTCACTAAAATATGCCGCTCGAATTCTTTACTTAGCTAACTGACTGAATTTTACGGACTGAATGATACGGGATTTGAATTACATTATTTTTTGTTGATTTTCTTGTGGCTTGAAAAATCACGTTTGACTTATATGCAAATTAGCTTGGTGTCAGGCTATTGTAAAACTAGCGTGCGTACAGACAAGTGTCTGTAAAATCCGGAAAACCCCTGGAACACAGGGGAATACCCCTGAAACACCTCTTAAAAATTAAAAAAATTAAATCAGTGCATACCAAACTGTAATGACTGCATTTCTCGATGAAAATAAAAAAACATTTTCGTTACAGAAAAATTGAGAAGATGGATACCTGTTGTACCCTGGTGTTGAAGAATGGATGAACAAGAACGGTATATTTTAAATTCATAATTCTTTCAGTATACGCTTTTACAGGTCACCCTCAATTTTCCGTTCCCGCTTCAATTAGTTCGAATATAAACGATATGTTCTTTTTCAATAAACATCAATGAACACCGAGCCATTATCCTATCGTAATCAACACATCTTATTTGCTTTCCAGGAATTACTGCTGCCTGGTTCTACTGCTTTCCAGGGTAGGCCTGGAAAAGTTACGACAGTTGTTCAAAAAACAGTGGAATAMTTTGAGTGGATTTGGTCCATGGACTGACAACCCTCAGAATGGAGCAGACTTGTTGACAAGGTTCACCCCACTTCGTTATGAAAKAACCAAGGTYCAGTCAGGTGACACAACAACATGGGATTTGTCTCTCCTTGTCAAAGCTCTGTTGTACTCCAGGCCTCCATTTGTACCCAACTCTGAAGCAACTTTAGTTACTGGCTTGAAATGTTTGAAAGACACAAGAGATATACTCTGCCACACTGGAAGTGGGAGGATTGCGTCATCAGAGTTTAAGAAGCTGTATAGCGATGCATGTAATGCATTAGTTTCTTTGGGCGCGTCATGGAAACAAGACCTTCTGAAAGTCAAGAAAGGTATGGATGATTCATCACACAGCTGAAACCATTGTATTGCATCCAAGCTCATCCAAAATTATTCCCTTGATGGTGTTTCGTACTTTCACACAATGAAACATCTAATAATTAATGGTTATCGCAAATAATCCCCACATGGGAATGAAAATTAGAGTTGTGTGGTTGTAGTGCAATGTTTATATATCTGACATTTGATTTATGTAGTTATTGGTTATATAGTTCCCGCACTCTTTTCACCAAGTTGTTTTTGGTACGCTACACTTTGACTACCCTATTACTCTTTTTTTGGAAAATTGTTCACTCCTGTTTATGTATTCAGATGTGGAGAAGAAGGAATCATTGTTATCAATGGTAAAAGACTGTACTTCACAAGATGAGGACATCATACAAGGGCTTGCATCAAGTAAATATTTTATGTTTTTAATAAAACATTCGTAGCTGAGCGGAAACGATGTGCCAATTTTCCAGGCAATGGGCCCTGTTGTAAAGACGTTGGATGTAGCTATATCCAAGCCATAAATTTTACGTGGATTTTGACTATTGAATTAAAATTGTGGAATTTTCTTTCCTCTGTCAAAACCAACTTATGAATTGAATTGTTTTATAGCTTTTATCAATGAAGTTAGTTTTATTACAGTATAATCAGTATTCCTGGCCGTTTGCTGGAGAAAATCAATTCGGAGATCCCCTGAATCGTATATTTTTGATTTGCAGTAAASCAACGACTTGATGAGTTAAAGCAGACGATTGAACAGAACCAGCAACAAACACAAGAAACATTACAAGTTGTAATACAAGGACAGTCAGACCTAAAGCAAGGACAAGATAAAATAGTCAAAGGGATTCAAAACCTACACAGATCATCAACATCAAAATCTCTAGACTTGTCAAGTGAAGGTTAGTGATGTCCTTTACATGGAGTAGAGAGGCGGATCAATTGGGGTGACTAACTGACTCATCTGTTGGGATCAACATTTGACTGTCTTTTTCCAATATTCGTTTCTTCTGAAACCAATGTTTGAAAACATTCCCAAAATTTACTGAAACCAACACCAAAATTTGTGATCTAAATTGATTGGCTTTTCTTTGTCAGATGTGGAATTGTATTCCGTCAACCTCAAGGAAGCRATAACAAAGCAAACAGATTTCTTACCAAAAGGACCCGATCAATCCAGACTGAAAACTGACGATATTTTTACCAATCTTACTGTTTATTATGGAAAACGAAAATCTCTGCAAGAAAAAACTCAGAAAGATCAAAGTGTTCTTAAAAGGGCAACTGAGATAGAACAATGTGAAGAGATTTTTGCTGATCAWGATAACAATGAATGCTATCCAAAGTCAATATTAGTTTTCGGAGAAGCTGGAATTGGAAAAWCATTGTTCTCGCAGAAAATCGTCAGAGACTGGTCAACAAATTGCATATCGATCCCTAACATCAAGTTCGCATACTTGATAACGTTCAGGCAGCTTGTTCTGCTTGGCAACAAAGAGCTCACCCTCAGAGAACTGCTTAATCTCTCTCCWTTACTAAACGAAATAACCTCAATAGATAATTCACTTATAGAGTACATCATTCAGCATCCAAAGGAGTTATTTGTAGTTCTCGATGGATTTGATGAATACAAAGAGCAAAGCAAWTCAGTAATTGGAGACTTTGAAAGCCAATTTAACAATGATGTCACAAAGATGCCAGTAGCTGCTCTGATCAGCAAACTAATCCGAAAAAAGATCTTGCGCGACTCAGTCATCATGTTAACCTCAAGACCAAATGAAGCCTTTGAGTTGGACGAAAAACTCCACTTTGACCGCTATGTACAAATTACAGGATTTTCTGAAACACAGGTTCTTCAATATGTTGAGAAATATTTTAACTCTAAACCAGAAGAAGTGAGAAAGATGGCAGTCGAAAGAGTCAAAGGAAGCGCACATTTCATGTCATTTGGTCGCGTCCCTTTGAGGTGTTTCCTGATGTGCGCGGTCATCGAGTATGAAATMCAAAATAACATTACTAGAGATAATTCAGTTCCTCTAACACTTACACAGTTTTATTATGAAGTTATTTATTGTATAGAAAGAAATAATAGAGAAATAAGTAGGCTACTAGATAAGACAGCCGCTTCATCCGCTGTAGAGAAAAACTTGAATAATTTTGCTAATCTAGTTGCAAAATTAGTCGAAGAAAATCGATTTACTTTCACACTAAAAGATTTAGAAGATCTCAAATTACCTGAAGATGAAATGTCTTACCTTAAATCAAGTAGTTTAATATTTTGTTATCCTGTTRCCAGTGATTCTCCATTCCCACAAACWACTCTTGAATATGGTTTCGCCCATTTTACCATTCAAGAGTTTTTTGTTGCTTGGCATTTGGTGAAGAAGCGTGCAATGGCGGCACAAGAAACCTCTGACATGGTGCACACATTCACAAGTGGTTTGTTGGGTTTAGATCAGRAGAACAACAACGATWCGTTGATAGTGGACGTACTTGATTGTGCACGTAAACAAGTGAAGGGTGAAAGTAATAGCAGGCGACGCCCTGTGTTATTGCGCTGTCTCCAYGAGTACGGCCAAGWGAAAGAATTCACAMGACAAGAACTGACTGCAAACCGTGACTACAGATACTGGCGYAATGATGGTTGGATTGAACTACGTGGTRTAACCGACACGGACTGTGCAGCAATCGCTATGTTAGTAGAATCCACTGCTACATCAATRTCATCACCACCATACACATTGTACATCGGTGGAATGTCATCGTTAACTTCTTCTGGCATAAGCACCTTGATGCCATCTCTCACTAAACCAACCTGCAATATCACCGAACTGAGGCTGGTGGGTTGTCAGTTGAACAACACATGTGCACAATGTTTGAGTCAATATTTGGCAGACACCAAGTTAATCAAGCTTAATCTGGTTGGYAATAACATAACTGATACTGGAGTGACTTACATCGTGAACAACTTACCCAGTACTTTGACATGGTTAGACCTGGTTGTTAATCCAGTATCCGATCAATGTAGAAAAAACACGGAAAGATTGTGTGAAGAGCGCTATCCTAGTCTTAAGTTAGGCTTATAGATTCACAGCTTTGTAGCGCATGATGTAAATATATTTATGACAGAGAACTCACATTAAACTATAAATACAGCCAACTCTCGCTATTACGGACACCCTGGGGACCGTAATTTAGTGTCCGCAGTGCGAGAGTCCGTAGTAACGGGAGTTACTTTCAATGATTTCTTTGTATTTTTCGCCGGGGATTCAGTATTCCCTGTCCATAATATCGAGGTGTCCGTGATAGAGGGGTGTCCGTGATAGAGGGGTGTCCGTGATATCGAGGTGTCCGTGATATAGGGGTGTCCGTAAAGCGAGAGTTGACTGTTTATATTGTTTTCTGTATATTAATTCCACTTACTGAGGAAAAACTGCTAGAAATGGATTAAACATTGATGCAAATATATGACTAAAATAAGTGTGCTCTATATTCAATTTTATGTTCAAATCAGGTCATGTGATTATAGCAAATCATACTAATATTCCTCTCAAAGTTTTCTTTTCTGAATTCATTGATACTATTTAATTAATTATTTATTTATTTAATTCGCAAAACAGTCGGAAAATCATTTCTATTMAATTTTCAACCAGGCGTTCCTAGGAAGAGTGTGAGAAAACTGGGAAAGACCAAACCCAGCAGCTGAATGAAGACTKYTTGCATGTTTGAAGACACCCACAGTGCGCATGTCTATGTCATGCATGTCATCAAATTAAAACTGATAATCACGCGAAAGTTGAAGGCGGGAAAATACTCCACGCTGATTGGACAAAACTGRRAATGTTATAACAGTAACATACCTCTAGGGRGAGATTTATWAGTGGCATATATAAGCCACAGTATGTAATTATCAATACCACATACAGCGACCGCAATGTCATTCATGATCAGTCYCTGTCKCTCTCTGCAGTGGTTTCTTTTTCTGTACCACTAAGAATGRTGGTGTACCCCCTGTAGAATGAAAACACTGAGAGGGCCGAGACGCAGGGAGTGTGTAATAAAACTTTCAATACCCAGAAAGGTTTAAGAACAATTTTGAAAAATACGAACAAATGGAAAAGATCTGAGGTTAGAAAAGGGATACTGAAATCACGAACGTCAACTTGATCACGTGAAGTGATGGAGGTCTTTACCCTATGAGTCTTGAGAGCAGGTGCAAGAGTAAATTAACCATCTATCATTAAGGTTTCTCACTTCACKTAATTGCGGTCGATTGGTATCCCTACCTCACGAAAACACGCCATGATTGGACCGCACAGTGTATTAAGAAATCGTCGCTATGGATACAGCCTTTATATCATCGTAATAAAACTGCTGGAGTCGATTCTCTGAAYATAAACCTTCAAAAACATCTCTTTGGAAAGCTTTACACAGAACAAGAACCGTTTTAGAAGACTTGGGGACAACTTTGACATTTTTTATAATGAAAGCAACGTGAAATCAAAGGGGAATTCCAACGTATAAACTTGGGGATTACTTGTCAAGTTATGAAACGGAACGCAAGCTGTTTGGACAACTGGAAACAAAGTTTTTGAAAGTTGAGACTAGCTTTTGGAATTCTAACYTCTTATCTCTCTCTCTAGTTGTCGGTGTACCTGGGAGTTCTATGTATACTAGACTGATCAAAGATGGTTTATAGCTCTCACATTCTTGCACAAACTTTTGTTTAAAATTGTGTGACTTAAATTAGATTGAAAAGTTCATATTTTGTATCTTTTTCTGAATCTTTCAACTTGGTGTAACAAGAATCTACGCTGTTCTCTCAACTTGATTTCTATCAGGCTGACTTTATGAATACTTCAGCAGCGAAGAACACAATAACTTGAGTAAGTCCAAATTCAATTAAAAACGCTTTACTCCAGCTATTACTTCTGCTCTGTGTATAAACAGTAACGCGRAATACAAAATCAAAGCTATAATACACAATTCATATCATTTCTTTCTTCAATGCAAGTACGTTATAATTCTATCTGTTAAACACAAAGTTTATCCTTGGAGTRAGCCCACGTTTGACTGATTTAATAATTGTCACTTCAAACTGTGAAGGAACAGCTTGATTTTTGCCGTATTTTCATCGTTATCAGCTACTGTAGGATTGACACTTGTCACTATCATCATGACAACACCTTCCGTTCACTCTGAAGATGATAACTTCATCATTGGTACGGGTGATGACTACGACAGACTGCGCCGCGACGCAAGGCAGCTCCATCTCAGTAAACACAACGAGACRCGTAGCAAAGCGCATTTCGCACGTTTCCGTAACGCTGCGTTGAAGTGCTCTATGGAAACAACGTACAAACGTATCGAACAGGAACGATCCCTGACGGTGAGGGAACTAGAACGCGCACAAGCAGACGCACTGAAACGTAAGGAGAAATACGACAAAAAGAAATCCTCGAATTTACCTGGTATTTCAACTAAGAAAACACCAAATGGCATTGAATCAAAATCTTCACAAGCGACTTTCAACAAGAAACTATTGAAAGAAGAACAATTCAATGATAAATCAAGAGATGAAGAGAACTCGTGGATGTCATGTGATGCCGCAAATAAAAATGAAGCGCGTGAGGTAAGCTCGTGGATTCCAAGTCATGCGCCTTCCAGTGTCGATGAAATTAAAAAGGTAACTTTGAACGAAAAGAGACCAACACTAAGAAAGAAATCTTCTACAAACTCAGTGAATTGCGAACTGTCAATTTCMCACTCATCTGTCCCGTCAATCAAAATTGACACTCTATCGACCATCTCTGACGTTACCCTCAACCTGTCAGAGGCAAGCGATACAACAAAAGAACCACTTCAGAGCAGCCTAAAGACTCATAAAACCAGSCAATCCGGCAGAGGCTTGTATCGAGCTTACTCGTCYCGAAGTGTAAGGATTTACCCTGGMGATTTGAAACTCAGACGCAGTAAYTCATGTGACGTCGAACGCATCAACCGGGAAAAGATAAAAAGTGAAAAAATCTGGAGGGATTTTGATGGTTTACTGAAGTGGTTCGCAAACTATTCTGGGAAGGAATACAAGCCMTCTTATGGCGGAAGGGAAGTCGAGGAACCGAGAGAGGCGCWCGTCGARGAGAAGAAGAAAGCTTTGCTACCAAAGTGCTCCATGAGTCCGCTGTACTTTAGGTATGGCGTTCCAGAAAATGGAGTCATTCGACTTTGCTGAAATCTAATTGCATGGTTTCTGCATGATTTATAGGCTGTCAATGAACTGAGCAATCAATTAACAAATCATCTAATCAACCGCTCAACAGCTAATTAAACAACCAATTAACCAATCAATCCACCAGCCAACCAACCAACCAACCAACCAATCGACCAACAAATCAACCAAACAATCAACATGCCAATCGAATGAATTGACCAATCAACAATCTACCAGCCAACCAACCAATCGACCAACCAATCGACCAACCAGTCAACCAAACAATCAGCATGCCAATCGAACAAGCATTAAACCAACCAATCGATCACTCAATGAATTGACCAATCAACAATCTACCACCCAACCAATCATCCGCGTAACTAACCCAGCAAACAATCAACCATTAAACCACCCAATCCATTGAACAACCAATTAATGAATCGACCAACTAAAATCTAACAACTAACTCGAATAACCAACCACCCAATCTACCAACAAACCACCAACCAATGCATAATTTTTCCAACAATTTTCACTAATGTATCTGACCAACCCAACCAACCAGACAACTAAATCCCTACTACAACCAATCTATTCTTATTTACCATCCAATAAACTAACATTTCTGGCGGATGGATGCATGTGAATACAGATGTTTATGAATGCATAAATATAACCGATATATATAATAAACCGATAAAAGTAAGATCATAATATGCATAGTAAACATCAAAATAAAAAGTAAAAGCTTCTCGACTGACTGATTGCAAGGATTATTTCYTCGATTATTTGTTTGAAAAGCTGTTCAAATATCTGCGTGATTAGAAAGGTGACATGTAAAGAACTTCAAGGGCACTGAGACGATGTTTCATATTATTGAACCCCCTCTTCTGTTCATTCCGCCTTCCTTTTTCTCCTGCATTAATTAATATCCCGCTATGTTGCCAAGCAACAAAGTCACGTCCTACGGTTTACATGGTCCCAGGGGATAGTTTCGTGACGGTCTGTTTAACAWTTAATTAAAAACAGATGTAAATTATTAACTACATTATAGATTCGTGAGTCTGCTTGATTCCTGTGTAGCGACGACAACACATCTAKAGACAAACTATCGCCAAACTACTGTAAAAACCCTTTCAATGAACTTGTGAGGTTATTTCAAGTGATTGGACGTGTAATGAAGGTCATTAAGCACAAAACAAGGTTCAATGACAATCAGAATTGACACTAAGTACGAGTTTTTGTCTGTTTGGGTTTTGTTTACGTTAATTAAAGTCACAAGTCATGGTTCAGCCAYCAGAAGAAGAAACACTTTGTGGAGATGAAAGCACTTCAAGAAACCGAAAAAGAACTAATTATTTAAACGATTCAAGATTGTCTACTACTCGAACAACGAGTAACTACTCGAACAGGATGATGTCCTCACGWTCGTGTCGGTCCGAGTTGGACTTGGTATCAATTGGAGAAAACAACCGTGAAAGATTATTAGCRGCGTTTTTACCGGATATTCGTAGAGTGCATTCCAAAATGAGCTATGAACATAGAGTCAGACCTTTTAACTTGAACCACGAGAGACTTAAAAGTGTTCAAATACGTGCCAAGATAGCCGGTGACGCGCGAAATCTTAGAGAAAGTCGTGWCGAAACACTAGGTCGAGGGAGGCAAGCTGCCAGCAATATAACACCTCGACCTGCTTGGACAGTAAAAGACGTACCAGTCAACGCTATTCATGATAGACTATACCCTGGCGATGGACCAGCTATGTATGCTTACATCAAGAGACATCAGTGGGATTATAGGGATAGAAGACCTGGGATRAAGAGAGTGCTACCTAAGAGATCACACACAAAGTAGCACCCTTGCTATATATACAAAAGAATCTTCATTATTTATATAGTGGGTTATTACTTGGTGGAAAAATGACTGCTAAGCTCTGGAACTGAGCCTACTTGTTTCGTGCCAGAATAAAGTTATGATAATGGTTAATGCAGTATGATGATGATGATGATGACAATGATCATGATGATTACGGTACAGAGGTTTTTAAAGTTTGTGAAATATATCATATAAAAGTATTGATGACGGTGATAATATTGTGACTATGATTSTGATGATTGATATCAAGATTTGTGAATAAGATATTATTATAAATTGCTATTATATATTATTAATTAATGTTATCTTAAATTATTGTAATTTTCTCAAGATACAAATAAAATTTTTGTTTTAACATTTATCAAAAAAGAATTTTCCTCTCTTCAGCTGGCTTTCTCAGCCTCAACAACAACAACAACAACGAAACAGCAATAGCAACACTGCAACAGCAGCAACAAAAACAGTGGAATGCAACAAAGCAAGCAAAAAACAAATAAGCAACAGTCTCAACACCAAAAGCAATATTAGAAAAACAGTTCTTGTAATACAAATTTTACAAGTTAAAGCTTATCTTTGGAAGATAGTTCTACACACCAAGTGTTGCGTGACTTGCGTTACAGTTCACGCTAAACTTCTAGTACTCTAGACAATCACCAAGGCAACGTCCAGACGCTTGACCCATAAAAACTTAATTAGGAAATCAATACTGAAATTTTCAAAGGTAAAAACTCATAATAAAAAGACAGTTTTTATCCTTCCGACATCTTGGTAAAAACATCCTGATCATGATCACAAATACAAACACAAATCCTGATTTATTTACTCATCTTAATTGTATAAGACTTTGAATTTATTTTGGCTCACGCATCGATTAAAATTCAGTATATTTATATGTTACATWAACTGCGAGTTTATTTCTTATTTTTTGGGGGATTTTCATGACGTTTTCAGCTTACGTTTGCGAAGAGGATCGCTAGTTGCGTTAGTGTCTATGCTTCTTGTKGTCATTAGTCGACCGCGCGCGCTTTTTGCATTCTGTTCMCCACCRAGACACGATTCKAGCTYCAAAAACCTTGGATCTTGAAGCCCAATCATGGACTTTTCTCGAGACACTTTGATCATTTCGGGAAAAGTTAAACGYCTTGAAATTTTTTGTCCTTTTTTAGCACGTGTCGGCCTCTCGTGTGATAGMGGAGGCAATGTCGTATCGTCTAAGTTTCCCGCACAGTGTTCTTCATCTTCAAACTGTCTCGTAATAAATGTTTTTTCCTGTTTCTTTGTGAATTCATCTGGCTTGCGATTTTGAACGGCCATTCGCACCATCGTGACAGCCTTCTCCCAATTRCCTTGAGTTCTTCTGTTAGGATCTGTTTCTACTTTACCAAATTCTTGAGTTGTGAACATTGAAGTTTGTCTCCTTGCTGCGACAGTCTGTATTGGTGGCAGTCCACTTTGGCCTTGAAGGCCACTTTGCCTTCGTGTATCGACTGCAATAGTTACRGGCCTTTCCTCTGAGACAGCAATCTGTTTCGTAGCGAATTCAAGCTGTCTGTAAGTCATATAYTTGTCCTGTCTTGCTTGGTGYTTTTTCAAAGTCATGAGCTGTGTTCCTAAAGATCTTTCTTCGTACGCATTYTCCTTTAAAATGGCCACACTAACCTTGTTCTTAAGCCTCATTTCGCCATTTTTACTKATTCTTATAAGYGGTTGTCTTGGAGGGTTGTTATTCATCGTGTTTGCTTCATATATACCAGGGTTTTGTGATTGAAAATTCGATATAAAACTCACTTGTCGCGTGATGTAGGGAAATTTAATATCMAAACTTGTCAGCAATGACTTCCTGGGGCCATAAATGACAGCCACAATACCTTGAGATGAGCAATAACTTAAATACCACACATCGTTATGGAAAAAACATAGACTTTTAGTCTTTCGTTGATATTTCTTATCAGCTCCCACTGCCTAGAAACAAATTGATTGTACAAATATTGTTCTTTTTTGAAGATTTTCTCTGGAGTGTATCGTTTCTTTTTTTAATGGTCTTACACTGTTTTTTCTTGTGTTTTACAGGTTCTGGCGTTCGTTTCCGAGCGACCGTCTCAGTGKTTAATTATTCTCAAGCAAGTCGCTCCACATCATCAATAATTCAGACAAGAAGTGCAGCAAACTGAAAAGTCTGGAGCTGAAAATGTACTGAAATTTCCAAACTCTCAGCTCTTTGGTGCTCCTTTGGTTTTTCTGTGTTAGCCACTCCAGCCAAAAGTGCTTGTACAACGTTTTTCTGTACCCGGCTCTTCAAAGTGTTTTTTAAAAACAATGTCCTTCCTTTCTGCTTTTCAAAGAAACCGGAAAAGTGATCTTCTTTGTATAATATTCCTTGGCTATTATCGTAAGAGCTTCCAGAGTTAATGACTTCTTTGGTTCGGATATTTATCAGTTTTTGACAAAACGTTGTTTCAACAAAGAACTYTAAATCTCCATTCGTTTTGGCGAGACGTCAATTAGACTCTTGAATAACCGCACGTTGAAGCAATGTTAGTTGTTAATAATGTCGATACAGTTTTGGCCGTTTTTGAGTATGTAATAACTTTTGCGCAATTGTTGCTGTGACAATTTACGGTGTATTTCCCTAAGTGTGGGTAATACAATCGGACATATGATAAGAACATCATTAAGAAATTTGAATATGAAWGAAAAAAGTATTTTGTTTTCATGGCTCCCTTGGGGTATTAATTATCAGTGACTATAACCGAGAAATCGTTATCGCCAACACAACTCCATATACTATCTATCTAGAACAAGTTCTTTATAAAATAAGAATTTTTATACGTGGGAATACTGATAAATCGATAAAATGGCATCATTATTGGTGAGACAGTATGTCAACAGAATTAATCCTTGTTACAAATTGCTAATCCATATTTCACTGGGAGATTGAATTGCTTTTATGTGACATAATTCAGTTTTTGTGTGACTTGAATGTATATTTTGCGTGGTGCTATATTTGGAATTAATTTTTGACAAACGAACACTACACAAAAATAACAAACAAACACAGTAATACTGAGAAAAAAACAAACGAAAAAAAACAAAAAATTACGATTGCGCAAAATAAAAATAAGCAGCAAAATAAAAGATAGGCAGTGGATGACTGCTTGTGACTAAGGCCATTAAGAAATTTAGGTAACTTGGACTTTGCTTGGTTGCAAAATGGTTATTCTGAATTTAAAATTGCTTTCCTTGGAAGTTCTTGACCACAACACGGAGCTRGCATAGCACTCTGAAACCATGCACATGAAAGCTCCTTTTGACATAGAGATTCRTTCTTTTCCTTTTTCAAACAATAGTTGGGCAGCCTGTGTTTTTGAATGGCGAACGGTGATAGAAATACCCACAATGCATTTCGCTCTGTATACCCTGCAAAKAACTAAAAGCATCAGGTTGTGATTTTAAAGCATTACGTTGTCTATAAATACACACCAGGCGGCGATTCCCAGGGGCCAAGGAACCTATTGTTATGGTTAATGATTCCTCCCGTGGGGTCTGACGCGGGGCGCACTGTTTGCCTGCCTGAAGGTAAACATATCCGTCTGAAAGATTCGGAAAAGGAATTGTTATCCACGATATGGAATCCTTAGAGCTTTGATTTAGCTTTGCTGTATCTTTTGACTTATAAACTCATGATCAAAAATTCTCGAACGTTTTGTTCGATAAACTGTATTTTTATATCCACTAGCATGTTATAATTACTCTTATTCGCCTGATTATAGTTTTGAAATAAAACCCAAAGATTCATACGTTTTTCTTCATTTCTTTATCAATGCTATACGGATTGTCATTCATTCTCTTCAATAGTAACATTAACTATATATTTAGATTTAATAATTATTTGATAATCAATATTAATCCATTTGTTAACTTTTATATCATCAAGAACGAAAATGTGGAACGTTCGAGTTGAATGTTGGCGTTTCAGAGGTCTTCAATTGTGTTCCGTTGAATATGGGCAAATCTCTGGCAACAGCTAGTATCTGACTGGTCTGTAAACCACAAACGCTAAGAGATCCTAAGAACTTTCAAGAGATTTTTGTTGTGCTGTTTACTTGAATACTAGTAATGTCTGTCTGATATGAGAACTGTACACATTTTCCTGTGATGATTTGGAAAACAATAACGACAATTGAACAGTTCGATGAAAGCCGCCACATTACATCGCCTTCATCGGTATTCGGGCGTAAACAAGCAATCATCACCCATCCCCACCCCCATCAAATAATAAATCCACTGAAGAATGATTATGCAAACCCTTTATCTTTGCTAATTGCTGATCTGAGCTCTGATTGGCTCGCAGCTTTGGTGACGTCATATAGAACTTCACCGAATAGACTACCCCAATTAGATATTAGATATCTATAAGTGTCCTCATAGTACGATGGTCTAAGAGGGTAGCTAAAGGTATGCTCTAGTGGGCGGCTACCCCCTCACTCCCTGGCCTTTTGGTTAAGACTAAGTTTTATGTTCACTCGGGATAGCGTGGAAGGGCCGAAATCTCTAACCGTAACGTAAGCCGATTCGCCGCCTCAGCTTCATAGAATGTCTCGGGGGAATCGTCCCATCTTTTTAGTTTTTTTATTTTCATTATTTCTTATGTATTTCGGGGGGGTACGTCTTTGCCTGAAGTGAAAGTCCTGAGTCGAATCCTGCTGCTGGAATTTCTCTTTTTTTCTTGTTTCTTGTTTCTTTTTCTTTTGTTTCCTGTTTTCTTCTTTCTTTTCTTCTTCTTCTTCTTCTTCTTTTTGATGTTTTTTTTTCTGTTGTTTTTTTTTTCCTATAGAGAAGTTCTCTTTTCAACTTAACATATCAAGGACTCGCAAGTAACGCCTGCTACAAGTGGATGGTTACGGTTCGGCCACTCAACACGATGACATAGTGACGATAGGCCACATAAGGCCTTTCGTCACAACGACGAAATTGATACGTAATTACGTATACGTGTGGAAGCTCACGTCTAAAAATGTCAGTAGACTTTTCTCCATTGAATATTACGCTTCAAAGTGGTAGCGACTGCGTAGCAAATGGTCTGCGGTCTCAGTTTCCATGGGGTTGTCAAACTAAACCAACCACGCTTTGCTTTCATTTTTGACATGTATTGTTGTGTACGCCAGTCGGCCTCGTGTCCTTATCACGATATCTACTGCCACCAGCTGGTTTGTTTATAAGCCATTAATGTATATGACAAAACCAAAGGCTGTAGGCTGTAGTAGTACTTGGTTCAGTTTGGTAAAAAAATATGATGTAATAAAGATGAAAATTACTTATATTGACTTAATTCTGTCTTGAACTATTTCAAACAAAGACTGCATCGTGCAAATGAAATACTTATAGCTTAATGGCGGCAGCTGACCATTGTCGCAGCTACAGGAAGCCCACGTAAGCGATCTATGATCGTCTAGTTCAAATAAAAAAATCATTCACTAGAACTAAAAGTAGAAATAAGATATGTACAAATGGAAAGATTTTAGAAAATAAAACGTATCAACTAGGCAAACAAAGTTGAACGATTACAATAAATATTGACAGACCACGTGGATCAACACGTGGCTTCCTGTGTATTTTGGCAAAGACACTGGGCACTAACATGCTTTGGGAATGGCGTCGTGTATGCATGCACTCCTTTATTAGCTAATTCTGCTTTATTTTGGATGAATATATCTATTTAGGTAAGTTATATATAGATAGTTTTAATCTTAGGGAGTCTTTCTTTAATCAAAAGTAGGTATGAAGGAATGTTTTTGTTTTGAATACGTTTTATGCTAAGATTTTTGAGAGTTTTCGTTGTGTCTGAATGTAYCGAAAATCTAGTAGCTTTGACTCTGATTAATTGATGTTTTTTATTTATGAATTGTAAGTATATTGGTTATTTAGACAGCGAATTTAATGTGTTTCATGGATATGAGTGTAGAAAACCAACTAGARCTTTTGAATTGAAGGTTAAGATATCGAATTACAGTATCATGCAGACAATGTTATTTCTTGCAATCACAGGGGGCCCAGGCTCAACGGTTGTGTTGCTTTCACTGCGGTGTTAAAGTATTAATTGCGGGGTTCGCGGTTCGAGCACTCATGAAGCTGTARATTTTTCTACTTCATTTCTTGAGACTTTTCAAGACTTTCTCTTTCTTTTCTTTTTTCTTTAATAAGTATAAACAGTTTTATGAATAAAGATTGATTTTTAAAGCCATTTTTATATTTTTTATATTATGGTGCTCCGCTATAAACAGTTTTATGAATAAAGATTGATTTTTAAAGCCATTTTTATATTTTACCCCCCTCGTAAATAAAAACAGACAAGGGAGGTAAGTCAGTGATCGAAATGTGCCAACCGGCTCTAAAGTACGGCCTCTAAGACACCTTTAACTTCATCCAATGGACATCAAACTCCGTACAGCTTTCGATCAATACCTATTCTCACTTGCCAACGTTCATCCTCCAGTGAAAAATATTTTCCGAGATATTTTAGTCAGAAGATCAACATACTCCAGCCTACCGATGCATGGTACTTTCAACTCGTGCACCAACGGAAATGCCTCGCTCTGGGGTGAGAGGACGTGATGTAATGTAGTTGTAGTTTTCCTAAAAATCGCAATGTGATTCACCGTTACATCGGTGTCCGCATTCTGTTGGAGTTCTTAATTGTCTATGAACCTGAAATATTCAAACTGAAATTTGCTAACTTCATCATAACAAGAATTCAAGAATCCTTGCTCTCCCCGCTTCGGCTCAATTATGGGCACCCCAGAGCGAGGCATTTCCGTTGGTGCACGAGTTGAAAGTACCATGCATCGGTAGGCTGGAGTATGTTGATCTTCTGACTAAAATATCTCGGAAAATATTTTTCACTGGAGGCTGAATATTGGTGGCAAGTGAGAATAGGTATTGATCGAAAGCTGTACGGAGTTTGATGTCCATTGGATGAAGTTAAAGGTGTCTTAGAGGCCGTAGTTTAGAGCCGGTTGGCAAATTTCGATCGCTGACTTACCTCCCTTGTCTATTTTTATTTACGAGGGGGGAAAATATAAAAATGGCTTTAAAAATCAATCTTTATTCATAAAACTGTTTATACTTATTAAAGAAAAAAGAAAAGAAAGAGAAAGTCTTGAAAAGTCTCAAGAAATGAAGTAGAAAAATYTACRGCTTCATGAGTGCTCGAACCGCGAACCCCGCAATTAATACTTTAACACCGCAGTGAAAGCAACACAACTGTTGAGCCTGGGCCCCCTGTGTTGCAATGCTGTATTACTGTTACATCATCAATGTCGTAGAATTTCCAGCTCTACGCACCTCACAATCAAAGGGACTGTATTCTTTCTTGCACTCCTTTATTCACTGACRTTCAAACACTATTTGAATTAATTTTACAACTCGTGGCTTACAGAAATTGAACTATGCATATATACACATCTGTTGTTTATAGACACTAATAAATTTCTTTGCGTACTTACTAATTGACAGTTTCTTTTTATCTAGGTTGATTACTAAAATGACTTAACACACACTTATGATTTAACAAAAATTGTACAAAAAAAAAACACAAAAATTTCTCTTTCCAACAATCAACTTGATAAACTCACATACTGTACTTCTTGATGTCATTATGAATTATTTGGATTCATGTCTTGAACATCAAACTATTAGATTCCTTGTCGTTCTTAGAAGAGCCAACATTCAAATGCTTTTATTTTGTCAGTATGTGGCCGGTATTCTATAATCCCTCCCCATTTCTTTACAATGGCTTTAATTGAAGATTGAATTAAAAATTCTATGGTAACGATGGGATGGGCATGGATTTGAGAGGTTTGATGTTTAATCCAAGTAATCTGGACATTAGGTGTAAATAAACAGTGTAGATATTGTACTTGTAGACTATACTTAAGATATGAATAGAAGGTCGTGGGTTCGAATCCCAGCTAGGTCAGAAATTAATTTTCCTAATGGACTTCTCCCAAAATTGCCTCCTTCCAAGCACTATAACTTTCTTTCATTTCTATATCGTGTTATACTTAAGATAGTTAGAGTTATCCGTAAGGTGCATCAGTGTTTTTWACAGAAAATTCTTGATAAAATGATAGATTATACATTAAATGATGTTGTTAATGAAGCAAAAACCAGCATATAAGAACAAGTGGATTAAGAACACCCAGGCCTAATTTTAGGAAATAAAGTACCATTTATATAAGAACACATTCGAGCCTGAAAAATGAAAGTTGTTCATATATGGAAAAATATCAACACTACTTTTCATTGCACACATAATAGTTCTACCCCAATTATATGTAACACAATATTAAACAAAATAATTATTGTATTATTTTATTAATTAAAATTGTGTGCATATACTATTGATTTCATCAATTGGCAACCGAGTATGTTCCTTATTTTAAGAAACATTTTTAAGAACACTTACAGGCTGATTTTGCAGATTATAACCCTTTATATAAGAACCAAATCAGCCTGAACTGTCAAAATAGGTGTTCTTATACGTGGGTTTTTACTGTATTGGACGTTTGTTCCAAGACCAATATAGGAGCAACATACTATAAGTTGTACTTACTCAAGAACATGGTAGGGAACCTAAAGTGTGGCTTGCTTGTAGGGTAATCAAAGCCTAGTGGAGTCCTTCCAAATGTCACTGTATACTGGAGGCTTATCAGTCTAACCACACTTAATTGCCTCTAGATCTGACCTTGTTGTATTCAATAGATGACTCTTCTTAATCTCACATTACATTTTTTATTTTTGTAGGATGGAATCTGATATGGAGGACACACTTCTTGAAAACAACAGGGTCAAAGACTTGTCAGGGGATTTTAACATAATTGAGGGCCTGTTTAAAGACCTTGAATTTCCTGGCATAGGTGATGACCAAGCAGTTGGTGACTCTGTGAGTGCTGGTATAAGAAACAATTTTCCAGGTACTGTGACTGGTCAACAAAGTAACAACTCGGGTCCTGGTGGAGAAGTACCTGATCAACAGATAAGTTTGCTGGAAATTGGGAATTTAGACAATAGAACATCTTGTGACACTCAGGCAACTCAAAATCTAAACACTCCGTTTCAGTGTCATTTTTGCGATGACATGTTTTGTCGTGTTGATTTGAGGACAAAACATGAAGAAGAGAAGCACAAGGAGCAGCTAGAACAACAACAACATCAACAACAACAACARCAAAGTGTCGGCAATGCATCGAAGAACAAACAAAATGTAGCAAAGCAATTTAAATGTCAGTTTTGTGACAGAACATTTCCTCACCAGTTTAGAGCAACATATCATGAAAAACAGAAACACAAAGATCTGTTTGAACAACAACAACAGCAACAACAACAGCAAGTTATTGATAACCCTTCAGAGAAGAAGAAAACCTTAGCAAAGAAATTTAAGTGTCACTTTTGTGACAAAACGTTTACTCGTAAATGCCATCTGAAATGTCATGAAAATAAGAACCACACAGAGCTGGTAGAACAACAAGAAGACCAAGAACTACAGAATCTACAAAAACAATTAAAGGAACAGCAAGAGCAGGAGAAACAAGAGAGGAAAAAACAACAGCAGAAACTCCAAGCAAGACTAAATCAACAACAGCTACAGGGAAGTCAACAACAGCAAAATAGCGATCAACAGCATCAGGATCAACATCCGGTTCATCAACAACAAGGACAACAGCATCATGAAAGAGAACAACAACAGCAGCAGCCACAGCGTGAGCAGCAAGATAAACAACAGCAACAGTGCAAAGATCAGCAGCAACAACAACAACAGCAGC